AGTATCATACTTAACTCTCGTTGCTCTAACCTCTAATGATTATACGGCAACACTGCACATCTGTCCTTTTAATAAAAAGCATGCATTGAAAACTGTCATGGAGGAGAGCATGTCAAAAATGTCATGGCCGCGCACGGACGACGCATTCTCATGTGAATATTCATGAGAATCAGCGAGGCGGGCGCGACGGCGCTATTTGATAAAAGTACGCGTGAATTATAAAGCGGACTGATAATCTGAATTGAGAAACAAATACCGTGTCTACAATAAATACATCGGTGTTTATTTTCTATACATGGTTTCGTTTATAATCAGTGGAATTAGCCATTTTTTTTGGTGATGAGAGTTGAGAATTGACAAGGTAGTATCTAGAGGTAGAGAGTAAGAATTAACAGATCAAATTCCTAATTAACATAAATAATTTGTTTTCGATTTTTTTTCATTCGATTATTGTTTAATGAAATCAATACTAATCCACAAAACCGAAGAATATTTAATTTTCTCAATAGAATAAAAAAGACGGAATACTTTTTATTCAAAAATTTTCACTTATCCAATTTATCAATTGTATTGACTAGGATAAACTCGAAAATAAAGGATGGTTAATCAGCGGCATTCGAACAAAATTCCACAAATACTTGGTTTTTTAAACATTCCCTTCTTAGCAATAAATAATGGAATGGTTCAAACTTGCAAACATATAATTTTTTTGGCATGTAATTGATTTTTGGTTAAATTCTCGGATCAGAAAGATTAGTTACAACTCAGGGAAAATTATTCTTGGAGTGAAAAATTGATTGTGATTGAATCATTTACTTTTAAAAATGGTCCTGGTCTCCTAAAATCAAGATTTTTCAATCATTTCATTAGTCTATTTCGAAAAGTCAACTTTTTATTTTTTTCCAATTTTTAAAAAAGGTTCCCTTGTAACTATGAGTAAATAGCAGTTGTACTGTTGAAAAAAAAAACTGAAATTTCGAACAAAGTCAATTAGAATCAATAGCTAGAATTATGAGATTGTCTGACATATTTTACGTCAAGTATAGGCGAATCTGAATACACCACACTGAAACGGAAGATCATTTTTTTCCTTTGAAAAAATAATAATGATATCCAAATTCAAAAATTCTATTATCAATAAAACGCTGGGACTTAATATTTCTTAATAGCACAGAATAAGAATGATGATATTTATATCATATCATCTGAACATTAACTTGAATTTCAAATTCACAAAAAAGGATGAAGTGACGATATTCTACGCACACAATTATATTGGTATTATGAAAAGACTGATTGAATTAAGGAGTGAATTTATTGAANATTTTTACATATATACAGGTCCTTACTAAATATTCGATTTCAAAGAGATTAGGAAGGAGTCAATAAGTAGCAAGAGTGCTTTTTGCAATGAAAATGATTATGAACAATCAATTGAAAAAATCAATATTGAATGTGAAATTTCTTGGATTTTCTTAACAATTTCCCAAAAAGTTCGAAGTTTAAAAAAATGCACAAGCATTTCGGGATTTTATGGAGAATTTGAAAAAATTGCATCGTCGAATAAAATTGTGAAGATTNGTAAAACTATACAAATGTGAAAATTTCAGAGTAGGTCCTATTTCTGGGCGCTCATTAAGAGAAGATTTTTGGACATTAATGACTGTGTGTTTTAAATTCTTTACAAAATCCATTTCTAAAAGGATGAATAGGTGATAAATTATAGGCATTTCAAGGAAGTTCACAGGTTTCCTAAAAAATTAGAGAATTGTCCGTTGTTTTTGCAAATGTATAATAATTCGGGAGTTTTTCAGAAAATTTAAAACAGTTATGAGGGTTTGTCTGTAAATTTGAGAAAATCCATGAATTTTTTTAAAATTATAGAAAATTTTCGGTATCTCCCAGATATTGGAGAATTTTTGAATAAACCACGGTAGAAGAATTGATAAGAAAAGGCGGACTTTTCCAGATAAAACTAATGTGAAGAAGTTACGTGACCGCCACTACACGCTGATTGATTGAAATGAAAAAGGAAATTATTCGAAAAATTTGAGAAATCCCTCGGATTTTCTCAACAATTTCACAAAAATTTCGAAGTTATTTTATATTGGTTATTATATATTATTTCGATGGAAAAATTCTTCTTCGAGTAAAAAATTGATTAGGATTGAATCATGTATGTAGAAAGATGGTTCATGGTCTCCGAAAATCTCTGAAAATCATATCATCTGAAACATCAATATGAATTTCAGATTCACAAAAAAAATAAAGTGACGACTTTCTAAGCAACTAATTACGTTGATGATATGAACTGAAGCGAAGTAAACTCATTTAAAAAATCTATAACAGTGTTGGCACGCATTTTTACCCGAGTATCAACAAGCATTGAATTCCAACAATTGATTCTCTGAATAATGCTTGAGAAGATGTTGAATTCTAATCATAATTAAAATCTCCTTCAGTGAGCATAGGAATTAGCACATATACGCAAGTAATTCATACAAAAATTTAACAGCTAATAAATTGGGACATTATTTTCATCAATCACATTGCTTTTTACATNAGTATCAACAAGCATTGAATTCCAACAATTGATTCTCTGAATAATGCTTGAGAAGATGTTGAATTCTAATCATAATTAAAATCTCCTTCAGTGAGCATAGGAATTAGCACATATACGCAAGTAATTCATACAAAAATTTAACAGCTAATAAATTGGGACATTATTTTCATCAATCACATTGCTTTTTACATTTTTTTTTATTTAGAGCATTTGAACCTCATGGGTCATTTCGCTATATGAAAAAAAAATGAAATAAATTGCAAAAAACATGCGAATTATTACATACAATTATGGGTACATCTTCAATGTCAATGTTTATACATAGTAGTTTTCATCATTTTTACATATATACAGGTCCTTACTAAATATTCGATTTCAAAGAGATTAGGAAGGAGTCAATAAGTAGCAAGAGTGCTTTTTGCAATGAAAATGATTATGAACAATCAATTGAAAAAATCAATATTGAATGTGAAATTTCTTGGATTTTCTTAACAATTTCCCAAAAAGTTCGAAGTTTAAAAAAATGCACAAGCATTTCGGGATTTTATGGAGAATTTGAAAAAATTGCATCGTCGAATAAAATTGTGAAGATTATGAATGAGGAGACGATACTCCGAATTAGCAAAAAAGCATCAGAATCAATCATGTAATTTTTCCAACAAAATCATCGATTGCTTTTGCGAAGAAATAAAGTGGAATCAAGAGGGTGGCGAAGACGAAAAAATTCGGCGTTTTGAGAAATTTAATAATTATTATTTTGCACTCTGAATGGAACTTCGATTATGATTATAGTTAGAAGCTCATTCAGTGAATACAGAGTTTGGGAATTACTTATTGCAACTGAAGAGGTGTTGAACCGTGAAGCATTGTTTCCATGAATCTTCACACTTAGTGTAAAAAGACGATGATGAATCATCAATTTGTGAAAAACTGACAAGGAAAAACACGAGAAAAGGCATTATAAAAGGGCATCAACGTCGCGGCCGCTTGTGGGCGCGGCGGGGCTAGTTTCATATAACCTCGTAAATTTTGTCCGAGTAGTCAACTGAGTGGACTGTTGCCAAATATTAGGAACGCGCGGATTTAAACCATCCAATAGCTTATGTAGGATTGGCCGATATATACAATACGGCCACACATCGGTCCAATATCGGGTCGTTGAACATCGGGGGCCGATAAAAGGCCAAACATCAGCTCAATATTCGCCGAACATTGGCGTTCTGACTAAGTGTCAAACATTGGTCCAATATTTGCGCGCCAAACGTCGGGGCCCTGATAAAAGGCCGCTCTACGGCCGATCATCGGAACCGATTTAATATTTGTATACTATTCTTCGAATAAATGGATGGATGACATGAATCCATCCTCTCTCATAATATACAGAATATAGATATCGATACCCCGAACGAAGGCCTAAAAAATTTTAAAATAGTAAATTAATTAATTAATTCTTCTCATCGGAATTACATATTAGTTAATTACTTGTTGATAAACGCATTCGGGAATTCAAATAACAACACCACGTGGCATTTATGTACCCCAAAAAAATCCATCTTCAGAAGAAATTTCAGATGGCCCAGTGGACAGCGTGCTTGACTACAGATCAGAAGGAATCGCGCTCGAATCCCACTGGGGGCAGTTTATTTAAAATTTCATTTTTTTCTTTTTCGCTCCAATGAAATGGATAAGAAAGGTTATAAAACGATTATAAACTATTAGAACAAATATTTATAAACGATTTTAAAATTTTGTTTCACCGATGATTGGTTGATAATCGACGCCAATGTTGGCCGTACATCGACGACTTTGATGGCCCGAACTAACGTGCCAACGTTCGGCGGAACATCGCAGCCGATTATCGGAGAACTCGGCACCCGTTTGGCCCGATGTGCAGCCACTTTATATTGTTCTACATGGGGATGGCCTTTGTACCAATCAGGAAGCTTTTAATTTGATTGTTTGCAATTGTCTGCCCGGAAATCTATGTTTTTTAATGTCGCAAAAAACTGGAGAGAACAACAAACAAATTCTCATACGGCTATGTGAACGAGCAAGCGTTTTAAGACTATGAACTATTGGATTGGAGGTGAGAGTGCAGAGCTCTTATGGACGCAATGTGTTAAATATCATTTTTTCAAAAATCTTTTTTTCCAAAAAAATATTCGAAAATTAACCTGGGGATTACGGCTGAAAAAATCTCTTGGTTTATTCTATAATCTCTGAAGAGGATTGCTCCCAGAAAAAATTGCCCGAACTACTTGAATATCCTTAAAACTGTTTTCATTTCCCAAATCAGAACAAAATCCAACTAAATTTATATATCATCATGACAATCCTCTTGTTGTGATCTACCTGAAAGATCCCGAAATGACCCATTCCCCGTCCGCTCATCAAGCATTCGAAAACCCATTAGTCATAAAATCCCCAATTTCCAAACCTCCGAAAATATCACGTGGCGCCCATCAGAAAACATTGAATTCCTCCACAAGCGCGAATGGCCTTCCCCCACCATCTGTTCCTCAAGTACCCCTTCTCAGTCCCCGATAATTCACTGTGGGCCCTGAACGAGTCTGGGGTCATCTCCAATGCACAGTAGTCCGTATCGTACCACTCCGCCGACAACTCCAACGAGTCTCTCTTCTTCTAAAAAATCCAAGAAACCGAATAGAAGATTCACACCTACTGAACTGACAACTTGACCCACTCCACTCCTTCACATCCTCATCACATTCCCCGTTCACTCACGAGTGAGTTGAGTGAGTAGAGTCACTCCGGTTCTCCTCCTTAGCTACAATCGTATGCGTTAGTGTGTGTCCAGTCTCGTGGAAGTACTAGAGAGAGGCAACTCTCCCCGGCAACGAATTAGTCGTATCGTTAACTGGCTTCGCGCCATCATCTGTCCCATACCAGAACTATAGACTTCAACTGTTGTGTGTGCATGAGTGGGTAATGTGGGATTATTTTGGACGACAGTTGTACACACGTTTTACATTGAGGGGGTTTTGAAACCCGGATTTTTGGTGGAGTTTCAACGGCATTCGGCTGTTTGTTTGGTTTTTTCGGGATTGTTGTGTTGAATGACAAACAAGTGTGCACTGCTAGTTTGGAGTTTTTGAGGATTTCCAAGGGGTGATTAGACAATCCGTCAACATTGGTGAGAGATTGTGACATATTTATTTTGGAGAATTTTGTATTTTGTTCGTGGCAAGTGACGAGAGGCTGATGGGCTTAGATATTATTTTGGAAATATTTCATTAATGAGTCGGTTTGGGGAACTATTTTAAAACACATTTTATAGGTCTTCTAAATCTTTGAAAAAAAAAGTCATTTGGACATCAATTTTAATGCATTTTTAGATTTTTCTACTAGTTAGAGTAAAGTGGACTGATTAAGAATTATCGAAACTAAAAAATCATCATTGAATTTCATTCTACTGATTTGAAATAATCAGTTATTGGATACAGTCCAATTGCCTCCTCCCCCCCTCCTTGGCACATCTTGGATGTGTCTATGACCTTGAAAATCCTTCTCAAAAATATATTTGAATGAATGATAATTTGTTCGGGACTAGTAACCTCAGAAAGAAAGCGAAAGACTTTTTGTAGAAGTCTTCGAATTCTGTACAAGAACGAGTCCTGCGATGAAATACTTTACTCCTTTTGATTTCATAATTCGTGGCTCAAGAAAGGGGACAAGCATCCCAGAGTTTCCTCTCATTTTGGAAATGTCTCTGAAACTACTAGGTTTAGCATGAATGTCAAATTATTTCTCTTTAAGGTCTCTAAATTTTACAAAAATATGTTTCAAAGAAACTTGCTAAAGTATTTTGTAGAAAAGATATTCAATATCTTTGGAAAAATATAACAAAACGTTTACAAAAAAAAGTTTTAAATTCTCCATAAAAAAAGGCCTGATTAATGTTTTTAAATCCCTCGCCTCCAAAGATATTCGGAAAATAGTCCACAAGTCCCTCTTCAATGCATTTAGTCGTCCCTAAAATATTTACAGTCTCTCTTTCCACGAGATATTCATGGTTTTATTGGCCTAATACTCGAGATTAAAATCTCACTGATTCCTCTCGAAGTATCGAATATCCGAGGGGGGACTTTCCATTGTTGAATTTCGGTTTTGTTCCGTTATGTTTTGTTACGTTATAAAGCTAATACTTAGGAAATACTTGTGGGTTTTATACAGTGTTATAAAACCTGAGTATAGTGTTTCAAGTGCATTGTTGAGGGTAGAAAAAAAGGAAGGAACCACTGTGGACGTATTAGTGGCAGTGAAACCATGAGGGGACTTTCAAAACGTAATACAACAACTGGCTGTGGGACGTGGACTTGTAATTCGAACTCGAATGCAGGTGCCAGGATTTGTGATGCCCATGTGCCACTGTTTGTCGGATACGCACCTTTTCATTAATTTATGTGGTCAAAATTAGGGAAGAAAATGTACCTGACACATTCATCTGCTTGTTTCTTTGTTAAATTTAACACTGTGATGATTAATGGACAAAAAATTGTAGAGGAAATTCGAAACATGAAGATAATCATTTAGATTTTGCTTCCAAATGGAAGCATTGAAATTGTTCAATTTTTACGTTTTCTAATTTTGCTTGGAAATTATATTGGTCTTAAACGTAAAAATACGAAGTTTGACAACCATGCGTGTATATTTGCAGGTTATTATCCACTCGGTGGTTAATTTGGTGGAAAATCGAAGAATTAAACTGCTAAAATAATTCCAACAATTCTCTAATTTTGTCCGATTTTTGGTATCAATGAGGAGCAACTCTGTACCCTATTTGAGCGTGACCAACCCAGCCGTTTTTTAGAATTCGCCATTTGTTTCTAAATCGTTCTTTGCAAATATTTCAAAATTATTCAACCGATTCTCATTTTTGAAAATATTCGTCTCGATGCCTTGTATCAATCAATTTAAACATGTATACCTGTTCATACGAAATTTTCGAAATATTTAAATTCTTATGTTTTTCACTGGAAATTCTTGTACGTAATTTAACTTTCGAAAGAATCGAAATACACTGAAAAAACAGAAAATTATTATTTACTGTGGGAACATAGTAATCGAGGACCATATCCGCCATACTCACAATTCACTGTTGAACATGGTAAAAAAAAGTAAATATTATAGTCAATATAACAGTAAAATTTAATTTGGCACGTGTCAAAATTCGGTCAAGATGAATAAAATTTTCAAGTTGTTTCGTTATGGTCGTCGATTACTATGTTTCCATTGTAACTTGTAATTTTATATTCTCTCCGTCTATTAACTTGAAATTCGGCATGAAGTTTCCTCTTATCTTTGCAATTTGTGATTAATTTCGGAGATATTCAATTTTGATTATAAATTTATCTCATTCAATATATCTTAAATACTACCCAACCGATTTCATTATCTTATAACAACCCACCAGATACCAAAATGAAACCATTTGGAAGCCTAAAAACCCCAAGTAGAAAATCTTCAGTCATGCGCTCACAAGTACATGCTCACTATTACCTGCCTATTTACCAAGATCATGATGAACAATTAAATGCGAATATTTTTATGCCTGTGAACATACAAGGCGTCAACTATTCGAGTCAATATTGATTCAGTAACAAAGTAGCAAAACTATATCAGTCAATTTCATACTGAAATTAGTCTTTGGTGATTATCCTCGAATGTACAGTAAGGTGAACAGGCCAATAGCTGAACGGTTAAGGGAAATTCGAGTTTCGTAGTAGGATCTAAAATAAAAGAATCACCTAGATGGGGATATGATAGCTTCCATACCTTCAAGAACGTTTTAATTAGTAGAAAAAAAATATTTGAAGTGAAAATAACGAAACAAAGAATAATTAAATTGAAAAATAGATTAATGCTGCCGACATCCCTAATTTCTGGACGACTGGGCCATATTTTTTTTTATTTATTAAATGTCGATCAATAGAAAACATAATTGATCACATAATTATACACGAGTAATATTATTGAAAGGAGAAACAATCAGTACAATTTTCATTTTATTTATGGAATATTCAATGCAAGTTGAACCTGTTTACCCTAGGTAGTTAAATTTCGGTGATAATCTTTTTTGGAAAGTATTAGGAGTGAGAACTGCGAAGAAGATCCTCATAAAAAATAAAGCTGATTTCAATCTAAAACATTAATAAAGAATACAGATTGATTTTTAAAAAATTGGGATTCAAATGTTATTTCCGTATTTTTATCTGATTATAAATTATATTTTTCCGCTGTCCATGAAGACCCCGAGGTGACTAGGAAGACAATGCATAACCGTTGCAACTACGGAAATACAAATACTAAAGTCCCATGTCACGTGTGCGATGAGTACGATAGTGTTTTGCTCACATGCCTCAAGTTCCTGACGTGCAAAAACCTCGAGTTGAATGCTTACTTGTTGCTCTCGTTACGCCCTAAGTAATAATAGCCTTGCCCCCAACGATAATTACGTCATTCTGTGGACGAGTGAGCGAGAGAGAACTCTGATGGCGAAGGAGCAAGAGAGAGGGAGTGAGAGAGCGAGCGAAAGAGGGGGAAGAGGTGACAGAGTTTAATACTGCAACCGTGCGCACACGGGTACTTGTCACCTTTTGGGTGTACACTGTGGGCTCACCACCGGAACTCGTCGCTTTTCCTACAATTCTATTTACTCGAGGCTCAGTGGAGCATGCAAAGTCAACAATAAAAAAATCAAGTGATTTCAAAACATGAATAACGGCTATAGAAGAGTTCCGATACAGCTGTAGTACTTTACTGATACAGCTCTAGTACCTGACACCCGACACCATCGGTGGTTTCTGATAAAAAGAGAAAATGAATCTGCTGGAAAATCTAGTTTGAAATTGGCTAAGCATAAATTAGTAATATTTTCTGAAATTGAACGAGTCCTGCGCCATTTGAAAAAAAAATCACGAACTTTAAAATAATATGGTGAAGTTCATCAAATTTGCACTGTTTGATCAGAGGGCATTGGAGATTTATTAGGGTCCATTTTCCCCACCATCTCTCATGACTTCTTTATCACTTTTAACTAAAATTATCCCCAAAGGACGTAAAGCGCATTCTCTCGCGGTCAGTCAATGGCGCCATTTTGTTGAAGAACTAGGACACCTCGGAATCATTAACTGCAGATCAGCAAGATTTCGTAGTGGCTCGAATAATCGATTATGAATTGGAGGACGATCTCGATAAACAGTCGGTTATTGTTTGAAAACTAACAATGAACATTCATCTCAATTCCCTTGTAATTTACAGGATAACTGGAGACCGTTTCACTTACCTAGCCGATCAAATTATAGAGGTTTTTTCAAAGGAGTATCGTGTGAGTAGAATCATCCCTGAGTGGTGAAACGAGTTGAATCCACTTTACGATCTGTTTTCGATGAATATCTCCAAATCTGAGGGAGATCCCTGAATTTCCCAGTCATTTTCTTCGCCGAACAAAATTGAATCTATCATCTTCATAAAGAGTTCGTTATGTCTCTTGGATTTTCAGATATTCAGCAGAAACTCAGGCCAAAGTAAAAATGATTTTTGTCGTTTTGCCAATTCACTAGTAAATTCTCGTTATCATTTCATATGAGTCCTCATATTCTCATAATTCCTGTAGGGTATTTACATTGTCATTAATAAGGAGGGTAAATTTGTGGCGGGGAAAGGAAAATTGTACAGGAGGTGGAGCAATTGCCGTCGAAAACTGGCCGAAGCCGGGTTAATCTTGACCAACAAAAAAGTCAAAAGAGGGGAGAAAAGGAAACATACAGAAGAAGAAGGTGATTTGAATGATTTCGACAGTT